TCTGCTCCTCCAAGAAGCAGGTGAATAAAGGTGGAAAAGTCCATTCTTACCCCCACTTCCTTCAGATTTACATCTTTAGAGGGTTGAAGTGTTTACCTCGACTCTAAAGATATTTCCAGTCTGGTTGATCAAGGAGTCTTCTCTCCAGATCAACATTCTCAAACTTATGGCAATTAATCAAGCTTTGTCCTACTTCCTTCCTCTCCTGCAGGGGAAGGTGGTTATAGTACACTCCAACAACTTCACAGTGGTCACTTGTGTTACCAAGTGGGGACTCTGATTCTAAGTCTCTGTACTTTCAGATCTTGGATCTTTTCTGGACCCACAGTCACCACATTGTGGGCTTAGTTTGCCATATTCCTGGCACCATGAACCTGGTCGTGGATAGCTTATCCCAACCCAATAAGATTCTCTCCATGGAGTGATCCATCAATCCACAGGTTTTTTGGTGGGTATGCAACAAACTTCCTTCCTTTTTGGTCTCCCATTCCACAACCATTAGCTCTGGGAATGGATGAATTCAGTTAAGATTGGAGGATTCATCACATTTATACTTACCCTTATATTTGACTCCTCCCCAGAGTTCTATCCCTAATCCAAACCACGCTGTGTCTAGTCCTCCTAGTGGCTCCATTTTGTCTGGCACAACCATGGTTTTTGCTGCTCTGACCTTTACTTGTACAACCTCCTCTACTCTTACCTCTGTCTAGATCTATATGACCTTTTTCCATGTCCATTTACCAGAGGGTATGGTCTACCTTCCACCTTTGGTCTCATTGATGTGGTTTTCATCTTTCCAACCCTTTCATTCCTCATCTTTCCCAATTCTTCACCTAATTGTTTGACAAAGGCTTGTCCACTTCGACTATGTCTAGCTATTGGGCAGCCTTGTCAAACACCCTCCATTTCTCCAAGTTTTGTCTTCCCATCATTTCCTGCTTCTTCTGGGTCATGCATCCTCCACGTTCCTTAGAATTGCCTGATTGGAATTTCATTGTGGTCCTTTATGCCTTTTCTCATCCTCCCTTTGAACCTTTGTCTACATGTTCAATATATCATCTCTCCCTCAAGACCTATTTCCTACTCCTTCTCACTAGTGAACATCGTCGATCAGATATTTATGCCATTAATATTACCCAAGTCCAGACCAGTCCTTCCTTTCTGAGACCTGTGTTGCACATAAAGGCTGTCTGGCTTTCACATTGATTTCCTGGCCTTCTATCTCTCACCTGTATTTCCATTCTGATCCAGATCAGTTTCTTTGTTCGATTCACTCTTTACGGTGTTATGTGGCATATACTGCCTCCTTTAGGGGTTCATATTCCTGACTATTTCTTCCTTGGAATCCATATATTTCCTGTGATTTATCCCCTGTCACACTAACTGGTTGGGTTAGTCAATTCGTTAGGCTGGCTTGTTCTGACTTACCCATGGAAGGATGCCATATCCAAAGTGTTTCTTTTTATCAGTTTTGTCATACTGCCATGTCTTTGGCTTCTTGTCATTATTTGGAGGAGATTGTGCAGGCTGGAATGTGGACCTTTGTCACTCTTTATCTGCATGATCTGGCTGTATCTTCTTCAGGTGGATATTATCTTTCTCCTATGGTGATTCTATACACGTTCATTCACCTTTGACTGGGGTAAGTCTTATCACATCATTTCATTTGTTTTCTTTTTAGAGACTTTTTTTTTTTACCACTACTAATGGGATCCCACTCTGTGGCAGGTTTTGCCTGGTCAGGTATGCTTTGCTTTAGACCCCAAACTATCTACTGGTAGCGCTATAATGCTCACTGTAGAGATGGGGTGTTCCGTATGACCATTGGTGGCTTGCCTAGTGGTATATACATATGTTTCTCAATATCCATCAGTTTTACTCAATTGCGGACCATCACTCATGGACTTTCATGAGTAAAGCAGAAGGGTAGTTCTGCCCATCTCTGCTGACCCCTTGATTGAATATATCAGAGACAGTCTGCTTTTTAAAATACTGAATCATGGACATCCATTGCATTTTCTTCAGTGTGACATTTCTCTGGACTTCCAACCACACTTACTTCCCCATTTTCCTCTGAGTGGAGCAAGGAAGTCCTTACCAGTTCCTAGTCACTGGGGTGGTGGACCATAGAGGCTTCTTCCTGAGTGCATTGTAGACTTTTAACTTTTCATATATCTACTCAGTAAGAAGAGGGCAAAGCTGGTTTCCCTCCTTAAATTTTCCCTGGATGCTTATTCCCAGGTGAACAGTTGTTGGTTGGAGCAGGACCAGCCTATGCGGGAACTTTTTTATAATACCGGGTTTGGGATGATACCGCCCCATTCCTATGGTTGTGTGTAGTAAAGACTCCCCTTTAATTCCAGTTGCAGGTGGTTCCTTCCCTGTTCCTATGGTTGACTTTGGAAGACTTTGTCTGCCTCATAACACTGGCAACAGGACATATGTACACTATTCCTATGGCTGAGCGAATGTTCCACATCCTCCTTATAATTCCAGATGCATTTACAGTTGGGTGAGTTAAGATTTCTGCTCTTAACATTGGTTACAGATATTGCATGGTTCTTATGGTTGAGTTGAGGCAACAACACTGCTCCATAATGCCGAGTTTGGTTTGTTCTACTTTTTGCTTCTTAGGTGGTTTTGGCTACATGTTAACTTCATCTTTGTAATTCTGGTTGCTTGCTATACAACACTATCTTTACTTACGGTTGGGATTCAAGTGTGTATATATAACATGATTCATGTGCCCTAGCCACATTGTTTATGTTATTCTATATTCGTTTTTATCTGATTGATCCTTAACCTCCTAATGCTGAGGAAAAGTTGTGGAACCTCATCTGTATGGTTGAGTATCTCCATAGCTACATCAGGCTTTTTTTACTATGGATTGCACTTGTGCACATTTTTTCCCCCACCCATATCAGGTTCATTTCCTTCCTCAATCCATCCCTGTTCCAGAAGTAGTGTAGAGCAGTACCCAACATGTGTGCTTCAGTTCATCTCTGAGCACACCCGTTCATTCTGAGCATTTGCTTTCCACTTGGTTTCAATGTTGTGCACCTACACCTTTGCAATGTGGGATTCCAGCTTTGTGTGTGATAGGAGGTAAGACCATATCAGAAGTTAACATTTTTCTTAGACTAAAAATGTATTTCTGATAGGTACTTACCACCCTTCCCTTCCAACTGCTGGTGTTATTCCTTTAGATCCTGCCAATTCTTGAAAGTGAGGATTGAGCAGGAATAGCAGAGGGAGCTAGCTGTGGCAGTATAGGTTGTGAATACTATTGGTGGAGAGTAGTCACATGCTATGTACATGTTCAATAGTGGTGCCAAATTGGTGGGATATATAGACTGGTGCACTGAGCATGAAAAGAAAAAATTTAGCAATGCTTAGAGGGCAGAAAGAAGGTCAAGATAACTTTGTACTGTTAGTTATGGTTTGTGTTTCAGTGGGCACTTCTGAAAAAGCTGTAAAGTGAAACTTTGACTGTCCAGTTAAAGAAAAATCAATTTTGGGGTTTTAAGGTTATTTATTTCTAGTATTAAAATGTCTTTTATACACAGTTGTGCACTATAGAAATCAAATAATGAATTTTTCACCTTGTTTTTCCATCTACATTTTGTAATAACTAACTAATCCATGCAGTTCTTTTAAATAAAAATGTGATATTAGATACCAAAGATTAAAATAAGGTTCGTTCCATTTAGTTTATAATACTGTAAATCTTTTACTGCTGTAGAACAATCATACAAGTAATTTGAATGTAGGCACAATAAAAATGCATCTATTTCCATTATTTAGAATTACACTGGTGTGTTCACTTTGTCAAATTGTTATCAGCGTCCTTGATATTCACTGCCCTGCCAGCAGCATTCTTTGCAAAGAAATTAAATATTAGCACAGACATTTTAGATACATAGATCAATAATGTCAAAGATATATGCCACGAATTTGAGGGGGAGTACGGGATACTGCAGCATTTCCCAAAGTGTGGGGTGCACGAGTGATTAGGAGATTCAATAGTGCAATAATGTAAAATTAAGCATTCTAATAATTTGTTATTAATGAAAATAACTACTACAACACACATAGCATTTTGATGCATACCTGTGTATTATATGTTGTCACTTAACTCTCACTCGTTTAAAAAAAGATGGGGTTGCACAAGAAAGTATATTTATTAAAGGGAAATGTGGATGACAAAAGTTAAGGAAATGATGGGATAGTGAATATAAAGGAAAATTTATATGTTCAATGGTTGATCACCTGCAATTTGACACAATTTAAAGGTGTTAGAAACCTGCTGGTGAATATTTAAAGGACAGATATTCTGAAAGAGCATGTCACAGTGATCAAGGTATTTTTGATACAAACAATGACACTACTATATCCATTGTGGACAAACCAGAAAAACATCACAGCATTCTGCTTTGTAAAGTCAGTTAGTACTAGAATCTCGTTAACTTTCACAAATGTGATTAGATGGTGAGAAGAAATAGATTAAGAGTTTGATTGTTCTGGGTGAACTGTGAAGACTTTAAGCAACAGACCTAGTTCAGGCAGGTCTCACAGCATACTAAGGTAGAAACCATTAGGGCTCTCATTTATGACTCGATTTCTGCATCCTTTGGACAGGTAAAGAAGGTCCTTAAAGTGAACATTATCTTCTCGAGTAGGAATCGTAACTTTACAGCTCTAGCCTGTAAGTAAGTTGCAGAAGCTGAGTAAATTATAAAATTAAGATCTTAAAGCATGTCTGTATGAATTAAAACTTTAAAAATAGTGGATCTACTTGTTCAAAACACTAAATATACACAAACATTTGTGTTAAGGCAACATATCTAATTGAAAATTATTAAACCTAATTTATTTTTCATTCCTCTTTGTAACATATAAAAAGTTCTTGTATTGTACATTTTAGTTTTCACTGTGTACTAATGAAACTTGTGGGTAATGTACAATGATGTCTCTACACTGTTTGATCTTGAGTTGATCCAAGAATTTCAATATTTTATTTTATACATCTTCAATCTATACATTCAAGGTGGCTATCAGAATTCTCCAAGATGTTCACAAATCGCTCTGAAGACTGATAATAACATACAATAAATGATAATCTGTAAATACAGCTACACATGACACATTCAATCACTTGAGTTATTTTACATAAAGTTTTAATCATTACAAGTGTTCTGAGGAGGATTTTGACAGGAAAATAGAAATACTGTACATAATAAAGAAAAAGAAAAAAAAGGTAATCTTCACCTTATTTCTAGAGTTAACAGAACTTCTGAAAAATCTTGATAATTGTTATCTGTACTATTCAATCCTGAGCATCCCCGATTCCATCAGCATTAATAGCAAACATCGCTTCTGCTTCGGGTAAACAAGGAGAGTCATAGATTTTACAGATTCTAGTCTCTGCTCTGCCTTTCCGAAGATACAATCTGAAATACGAAATGTTTTTAAATGAGCACAGTTTGAACTGAATAGAACCGTAAGGTAGTTATTTACCAAAATAAAAGCCAAAAATATACCTATAAAAATGTATTCTTACAATTAGAGGTTAAATCATTACTAAGTTCTTTCATTTAGAAACAACACAACCAAACATTTGTTAACAAATTGTATGACACATTGTATGTTTGGTGTACATTACCAAAATAAAAGCCAAAAATACACCTATAAAAAATGTATTCTTACAATTAGAAGTTAAATCATTACTAAGTTCTTTCATTTAGAAACAACACAACCAAACATTTGTTAACAAATTGTATGACTAAATTATTGGGAGTTTCATGAGATATGAGAATGAACTTATTCAACTATCATAATATCTAATGAAGCAAGATCTGCTGTTCAATAGTTAATGTGCCATTACATCACAAAAATCTTTCTTACAGGCATCAGGTTTTCCAATACAAACAACATAATAACCTTTACCTGGCTGTAACAATAGAGTTAACATTACCTTGTTGTTGAAGCATGGGCAATAATATTTCCTCCTATTGGTTTCTTGGGATCAGAAGAAAAAATAGCTGCCCCATCAACCTGTGCCACCACCTGATTTGTTATCACTACAGCAACACCATACTGAAAAGATATGTTATTATGAAATATAGATCAAATGACTAAATGTTTGTACCAACTAGTATATAACGATGTTATACATTCAAGTGTACAGTTGATTACATTTTGTTTGTACCAACCAGTATATAATGATGTTACACATTAAAGTAGTACAGTTAATTACATTTTGTTTGTACCAACCAGTATATAACAATGTTATACATTAAAGTGTACAGTTAATTACAGGTACAAACAAAAACACTTTAATGTATAACATCGTTATATACTGGTTTACAGTTAATTACAGGTACAAACAAAACACTTTAATGTATAACATCGTTATATACTGGTTTACAGTTGGTTACACTTTCGACTGTTTGGAAATCCATGTAATATGTTATGAATACAGGTTTCTTTTTAACAAGATTCACATAATAAAATTAAATAACAGTGGATTATTTTACCCTATCTGCAGTTATCAAGCTTGCTGACCAAAACTACAATATAATCAACCTTACTAATCAAAACTACAATATAATCAACCTTACTAATCAAAACTACAACATAATCAACCTTACTAATCAAAACTACAACATAATCAACCTTACTAATCAAAACTACAACATAATCAACCTTACTAATCAAAACTACAACATAATCAACCTTACTAATCAAAACTACAACATAATCAACCTTACTAATCAAAACTACAGCATAATCCACCTCATTAACTAAAATTACAACATTAACAACCTTACTTACCAAAACTACAATGTAACTAACTTTTCTAACTAAAACTACAACAGGATTTCAGGAGGAGCTTATGCTTTTACATGCAAGGGATACATCAGCTAACAATGACTTTGAAGAAGTTAGAAAGAGTACTATTAGGGCTAAAAGTAGTGAATTTAATTGTAATGAGCCTATTCTGTTGAGCAACAGATTTCAGCCTTTGGCTTCTGCTGATGAGAAACTATTGGAGTGAAGGAAAACAAAAGGGTCAGAGAAGGATGTGGATGATAAGAATGTTATAGTTGTAGGTGATTCCTTGATAAGGCATGTGGGGTAAATAGGGAGAAAATAATTAGATTATGCCACTCAGGAACATAGGTGGAGGATATAACTGACAGAGCAGGAAATATAATAAAGGGGGCTAGCGGAGATGCAGTTTTTGTGGTGCATATAGGGGCTAATGAAGTAGGGAATGGTAGATCAGAGGAGCTAATTAATAAAGAAAGAGGCCATAACTTAATTCTGTCAGGGATACTGCCCAGAATGAACTGTGGGAATGAAGTTATAAGAATGTCACTAGGGCTAAATGCTAGGCTTAGATTAGTATGTGAGGATGAGCAGATTGGCTAGTTGGACTCTTGGGATCAGTTCAGTGGAAGAAGTGAGCTTTATGGAATGGATGGTTTACATTTAAATAGAGTAGGGGTTGGCTTGTTTGCTAAGGCTATTGACTCAGCTGTAAGGGAAGTTTTAAACTAGGACTAGACAGTGGTGAGGGCCAGGAAAAACTAAATGCAAAAAATAATAACAGGCAGATAAAAGTTTAGCATAGGAAATGAGTATAAAAGTAGTTATAAGGATAGCCTTAATTGTTAGTATTGTAATTCTAGAAGTATAAGAAATAAAACAGATGACCTTAGAGCACTAGTTGGAATGGAGGATTTTCATATAATGGGAGTAACTGAAACATGGTTAAACATAGATGATTTTGATGACAAAAACTTCTTTGAAATACAGGGTTACAGGCTATTTAATAGGGTTAGAGTATTAAAGAGGGGGTGGAGTGGCTTTATATGTAAAATGTGATTTATATCCTGTTGAAGTTGAGGATATCAAAGTTAATAACAAGGAGATTGAATCCATTTGGGTTTCTATTAGTGGATATAAAGGGAAAAGGCATTTAGTGGGAATTTGTGACAGACCACCAAGTGATACTCATGAAATTTGTGAGAAACTTTACAATGAGATTAAGATTACAGCTGTTAATGAAGTCATAATTATGGGTGATTTTAATTTCAGGCAAATAGATTGGAAAATTCTAGAGTCAAACCATGAGGGAGAAAGGTTTTTGTAAAATGTTTAGGATGGCTTTCTTCACCAATTAGTCAAGGAACCTACTAGAAACAATGCTATTTTAGATATTGTTAATTTCAAATACAGAAATGATCGAGAGGGTGGAAATTGGGGAACACCTGGGTGCAAGTGACCATTGCTCTATTAGGTTCAATGTTTTGCTCCATATGGAGATAAGGAATAATGATATTTTGTTTACATATTTCAAAAAAGCAAATTTTGAAGGAATGCGACAAGTAATATCTGTTGTGAAGTGGAATAGTCAATAAGTTACTTAAATTTGCAGATGATATTACAGTCTTGGGATGGATGTGAAGAGGATGCTGCTGTTTTACAAAAGGATTTAGATCATTTAATGAGTTGGGTGAATAAATGGTAGATGGGTTTTAATTATAATAAATGTAATATAATGCATGTGGGTTATCATAATTTGAATTATAAGTATAATTTGGATGAGAATAACCTTAACAGTGTTATGAAAGAAAGGGATCTTGGGGGTAATAGTTGATCAGTCTCTAAAACTATTAGAGCTGTTGCTAGTGGTAGGGCAGATAGGATTTTAGGTTGTATCTACAGAAATATTGAATATAAGTCTAAAGAGGTTATAATTTCATTGTACAGGTCACTGGTTAGGCCACTTTTGGAATACTGTGTTCAGTCTTGGGCTCCGTACCTTATGAAATACATTGAATTGTTGGAATGGGTTACTAGAATGGTGCCTGGGATTATCATGTGAGAAGAGGCTGAAATCTCTCAAACTGTTTTCTCTTGAAAAAAGAAGATTCGTGGGGATCTGATTGAGGTGTTTAAGATCGTAAAGGGAATTTATAGTGTTGATGCATTATCTTTTTTCATATTTAACAGTAAAAATAGTAGGACTAGGGTACACAAATATAAATTTTGTCAAGGTAGGAGACATCTTCAGTTAAGACAGTTTCATTTTTCTAACAGGGTGGTTGGCCTTTGGAATGGATTGCTTTCAGATGTTGTAGAGGCAGTAAATTTAAGATAAATCTTGATAAGTATATGAATGATAAGTGCTGGCTTTAAGATTTTTTTAGAAATTATTTTAATTTAGTTTAGAAAATGGAATAACTGATATGGACAAATAGGTCCCATGTTCTCCCAAAACATTATGTTATTATATTCTTATAACTAAAGTTTCTAACAAACTATAACATATTCAACCTCACTAACCAAAGCTACAAAATAATAAACCTTGCTGACCAAAACTACAACACAATCAACCTTGCTAGCTAAAACCATAACATATTCAACCTCACTAACCAAAACTACAATGTAACCGACATCATTAATCAAAGCTACAAAATAACAAACCTTGCTGAACACAATCAATCTTGCTAGCAAAAACTACAATATAATCAACCTCACAAAAAAAAACTAGAATAATCAAACTTGTTGGCCAAAACTGTTGTAAATCAATCTCTCTAACCAATTTACAACCTCACTGTACTTTGTAAATACTAGTTGCAGACTTCTATACTTTTCATCAGTCATCATGATGCTGTTTGTTCATACAATAGAATATTTACTCTCAGAATATCTTACTCTTTAAAACACAGGAAGTATATTGTGAACATCTTAATTTTTAATTCAACAAGCTATAAACAGATGGTATGATTGGTGGTGTGTTATATTACTCCCTTTATTTTTCAAACAGTCATTTAAACTGGTACCTTGCTTTAAAATGTGAAACTCGATTACAAAGTGTAAAAACAACGATGGAAAATGTGGGAATACAACAAAAAACTACAGGTAACTAAGCATGTAGGTTCTGTATCGAACATTACCAAAATTACAATTCTTTTACAATACTTTTTTTTACTTCTTCTCAAAATACTAATAAAACTGAGAAACAACTAAGTAAAATAAATGACTGTTGGCTTACCTCATCAGCTAAACGTAACAACATACGCAGAAACCTTGCAAGATGCATCTGTCGAGCAGACAGTTCTCCTCTCCCAGAGTAGTCAGTTCTGTAAAGTGCTGTAGCGCTGTCCACAACTAATAAAGCATATCTGTAATGAATTTACATATAGATAGGTTAAATATGGAAAATTCATAATACCAGCTTAGAAATACTTCAATGTTTATGAAAAAAAATTAAACTTAATGATGTTTTATCAAATGGTAACTGTTTTATAGTTTACAATATAAAAGTGTTTTTAAATTCTTTACAGGAATTTCAATTTCTCCATAAAAGAAATTGTTACGACAGCAGAAGTCACGTGATGAGTGTCTAGAAGATTCGCGAAGAGGCTAGTACATGTTACGTGTGTGCTTTTATTGTATATAAGTGCGCCAGATAAAGGAGACACTCATTCGGAATTGAATTGCTGACAGAGATATAGAGACAGATAATCGAGTCAAGCCATAAGTAAAGTGTATGAATCGTTGTGAATTCTAGCGTGTGTTTAAGTTAAAGTGACTGTGGAAATTAAGTGTATTGCAAAGTTGTATTGAGAGGGAATTAACTAGTTTTATTTAAGAAAGGACTTGTGTCGCTGAAGTTTCATCGGAAATAAATTCAACGAAAAATTAAGCGAACACATATGTAACAAAATTAAATACGTTTAACATTCATTAACTATAAGAAGAAAAAAAGCATGAGATTAATTCAAAAATCAATACTATTTATTTCAAAATTGTTTCTATGCAACAAGTATTTGTACAATATTATATTTATCTGAAATATTACTAATCCATCCACGAAGATCTGTTTTCATTAGTTCTCTTCTACTGCTAACTAAAGCATGCTGACACTCGTATTTCATAAATTTTGAAAAAAGGAGAAAAAAAGAAACATTTATATATATTATGTCAACAAGACAATACATTCCATTCTGTACAAAAAAGAAATCATCAAGAACGTTTTTGTTACTGATATTAACATAACATGTTAATATCAGTTCATGTGATATAAATGACACAAATCTGAGTCATGTTAAGCCATATTTTGTTAGCTCAAGTATGAAATAGGCTTAACAGGTGTAAATACATCAAGTTAAGTCATGATCATAAAAGGAGAAAATTAACTGGTGAGCTTAAATTGTATTATAATAATTATAAATTTAACATTGAGTTCATAAACAAAACTGTTTTCAACAGCACTTCACCAGTGCTATTTGTTATGATCATCAAAAAAATACATTTTGAACAACGGTATTGCTGAAATCCACAATATGAACGCAGCAGTGGATAAAAGTAAGAAATGATCACGTACTTTCTCTCATTGACACCTTATCCAGTAAATGACAACAAATATTTACACTTACTACTACCACTCACAAAGTAAAACAAACCTGATCTATAATTTTGTTTTTATACACAGTTAGTAATGGTTCAGCAAGTGATACTAGTTTAAGATTACCTTGATTCTGACATAATAGCAGCAGCTTGGATCAACAACTGGGTCTGATGATCTGTATTATAAGCTCGAGCATATGCAACATTATCCAATACATCACTACCAGACAAGCCATACCTGTACAAAAAACAAAGTGTAAACTAAAGATGTAAATTTTAATTGTAGGAGTAAAGTGTAAACTAACGATGTCAATTTTAACTAAAAGTGTAAAGTGTAAACTAAAGATGTAAATTCTAACTGTAGAAGTAAAGTGTAAACTAAAGATGTAAATTTTAATTAAAGGTGTAAAGTGTAAAATTAAGATGTAAATTTTAACTAAAGGTGTAAAATGTAAACTAAGGATGTAAATTTTAACTAAGGTGTGTCAGATTTTAAAAAAGATTATTACATACGTATATGGGTTCTGTTTTGTTTTTTGCCAATCGTCAAAATAAATGGCTTTTACTTAATAGTATAAATTTATACTATGTAGTTATTGGGCTTAGGATTCTTCTACAGTAGATGTCTGTGACTTGTTAGCAATAAATTCAATGAGGTATATACAGCACAAACTTTACTTGTTTTCAAATAATATATATATATTCAGAACAAGTTAAACGTATGTACAATAAAGTATTCACACTATAGAGAATATATGCATATCGTAAACATTATATAAGTATATGTATAGTTCTCCTCTTGTTGTCAAAAGTCCACTTAGGCCTGTTCAATTACTTTAGAATCTCAGATGACAAGCCGAACCATTTTCTTTAATACTATTGCAATATTAGTCTGATGTGATTCACTTACGATTGTGGTTTTCTTTCTTCTGAAGATCCTATGATCCTTTTGTCAAAGTGCACTCAGGCTGATTCAATTACTTTAGAATTTTGCTTTGATAGAATAAACTTATTTTTTCTTATTTCTTTTTCCACTGTTAGTTTCACTCTAATATATATATATATCTGTTTAATACTGTCTGTCTGCTGCTTCCCACTCGTCTCACGCAACTTATATCTTTATTACATAGTTGTCTGGCCACTTTCTATATTGTCGACACCAATTAGTTATTAACAAAACCTTCTACAATTGTCTATTTTTAACTCTTATTATAACAAAACTTAAAATAATAAAATATTCACTCACAAATAT